AATTGTGTTGGGGGGTGCCGTGGGCGCCCTTGGGCGGTGGCTGGAGGAGATGGCGTCCTTGGGCCGGGCTGGCGTTGGCTGCGGCACAGAGACGGTGCGTGCCGGCCCGTCCGGCCCACGCGCTGCGCCCACGCATGCTAAGTGGCTAGGCTGCGTGAGGACACAGCTGGATGTGCCCACGCACATGCGTGCATGTGTTCGCACACGCCTGTGAGATCAGATGTCGGGAGGGTCACACTGCCCGTGCCCGGAGCCCGGCTCTCCCCGTCCCGTCTGCCTCTGGGGCTGGCAGCGCCGGGCAGGGGGCCACCCGGGTGCCCGGGGTCTCCTGACCGTGGCCTCGGCATGCACGAGGCTGGCCACGAGTCAGAGTCTGGAGTGACTAATGCCTGCCGGATCGATGGCTGAGCACAGCCGAGCGCAGTCCGATCGCGCCCCGGGGGCTCCTGCACAGCACTACCCGGAGCTCAACGGCTCGGGGCAGATGCCTCCAGCACCAGCTGGATAGGTGCCAGCATGGGGCCCTTGGCCCTGGCACTGGCCCCCCGCAGCCAGCCCTTCCTGTCTCTGTGCCAAGACCTCCAGCGTCTCGGCACCGGGGACACTGGGGGGTTGTGCCCGGTGCCCCCCGCAGAGGCGGTTCCACGTCTGCCAGGTGCGGTGTGAACAGTGCCGGCCCTGGGCCCCGGCAGGGAACCGTCTGGTCTCCTGGGCGGTGGGAGCATCCAGCCCGCTCCACGCGCTCCATTTTATCACCTTCCCAGGCAGGCAATCTTCGTTTAACGCGGAGCAAGCGGGCTGGGGAATGCTAATGAGGCCCGGCGCCACCAATGCCACTATCTCCCTGGCGTAATTGGGGCGATGGAGTCGTGCGCTGATAATGGCCCTGCTGCCGGCACCGCAGGGCATGTTAACCCTCCACCCCAGCAGGCCCAGACCCCTGCCCCAGGGCCCATGGAGGGCACTCTACTCCCACCCCCCAGACCAGGAGTCCATGGGTGGCACGGACGACCCCTGAAGTGCCCGCGGACGGCTGGCCCGGTGGCACCAGAGATGCTGGTTTCCATGGCAACGGGCCGGTGGGGCATGTGCCCGGGCCCCGCGCCATGGCGCGTGATTTACGGGGCCGGCCGGCGGCGGTGACCGCAGAGCCGGCACAGGGTCAAGGGACACCATTAGCACAGTGCACGGTGACAGGCCCGAGGCTTGGGCGCGAGCCAGGCAGTGCCGGGGGGGGGGATGGGTGAGGGGCACCGAGGACGGGAGCGGTGCCATTCAGCATCCGTCTCCCCGACTGCAGGCCTGGCACGAGCGGCTGCTGCCTGCGCGGACCGGCTCCCGGGGCAGGAGCAGCTTGGGGCAGGGCCTGGGGGCTTCCTGCCTCGGGACCTGGGGCCGGGGCAGCCCTGGATGCGAGGTGGGCGGCCGGGCGGGCTTCCAGCGTGGCGTGCGGGGGATTACGGCCCGCTCAAGGGCTCTCCAGCCCCAGCTGCGACGCAGCCCTGGGCTCTCAGGCAGTGCCGCCTCCACGCACCGAATTAGCAGCCTGAGTAATTAAGTGGAGAGCTTTGTTTTAATGCCGACATCTGATGCCTTCGCAGCGCAGCGCGAACAACTGTCGCCGGTGCTTATGCTCCGTGCGGCACATCTGGCGTGGGGAGAGGAGCTGGAGCCACCATGGCTGCAGTGGGGTTAAAGGGGTGTGGGGGGGAAGGGGGCAGGGCTCCCAGCCTCCCCATGGACAGCCAGGGCTCCTAGGCTGCGAGCTTCCCCACAGCGGTGCCCTGCCAGCACACAGCCAGCGGCACTGGGCAGGCGTTGCAGCCCTGGTGGAAGGAGTCCACCGTGTCGGCTCCCCCTGGGCCCGGGGAGAGTAGTACTGGCCTGTCCCTGCCACTTGCACACGGGTGCAGGCCCCCACCCCTGTCCCCGTGGGTTACTCTGGGCCCATGACCCACAGGAGGCTGCTGCACACAGGTCCTGGCACCCCCTTGCCCTGTAGTGACACTCCAGCGGGGCCAAGGAGCCCTGGGCAGAGCTGGGGGGGGAGGAAGGATCCCATGGCCCCAGAGTCGGTGCCAGCGGCTACAGCACCAGGAAGACCCCCTCTCCTACCCGGGCAGCTGCAGAGGGTCCGGTCTCTGGAAGGCCCCCCCCCCCAGGCTGGTCCTCATGGGCTTCTGCAATGGCAGGACGGTGGGAGCCTGGCATGGGGCACTGGCACCTACTGTCTGTGCCCCCTGGGCATGGTGCCCAGTCTGCACCAGGTCCTTGCAGAGGAGCTTTGGGTCAGCCTTGACGCATAGCATCATTGATGACCTCAGGCATGGGGCAGATGACATCACTGGGGATGAGGCGCTGGTGGGCACAGGGGCGAACTGGCTGCTGGCTCAGCCTCGCCCTTGCCAACATCCCTATCCCACACAGCCACGGCTGCCTGCATCAGACCCTGGTCTGGCTGGTCTGGATCCTGCCTCGATGCCAGCTGTACCCGGGCCCCCTGTCCCTGGCAGCTCCCTGATCCCCGCACCCCTGCTTGTGGCACCGGCTGCACTAGCGCCCCGTCAGGCTGCCCCAGGCTGCGCTTGTGCCCCAGGCTCCTCTGCGGGTCGTGGGCCATGGCTAGCTAGCACCGGAGCTGCATGGGGCTCTCGTGCTTGCTACGAAGGGCTGCTCTTGCTGTGCCGCTGTCTCCAGCTGTGGGGCATGGGGGGCACAGGGGTGCTGGTGCTGGGACACAGCCTGGCAGGGCCTCACCATCCTGCCCTGCGTACCAGTTCCCTCAGTGGCTCTCGTCAGGCTGGGGCATTTCACCCTGGCAAAGCCTGGGCTCTCTGGTCCTGGGATGCACCTGGAGCCTGCGCCCACCCTGTGGCACAGCCCCTCTGCACCGTCCACATGTCTTGCTCCCTCTCCTGCGTCCCACGTGCAGCTGCTGTCATCCAGAGCCAGCGTCAGCGGCGGGTTCCCCGTGGTCCCTTTGAGGCAGCTGTATTCACCGGCCGTTCCTGGCAGCTGACTCATGCCGGCTGCCCACGCGGCCCCCGCCGGCCCTTGTGCCAGGAAGGCAGTGGAGTGC